GTGTGTGTGTGTGTGTGTGTGTGTGTGTGCATGCACGTGTGTGCACTAGAAACATCTGTGTAAAAAAACCACTGGATTTACCTTTAGTGAGTGGTGGGGACTTCTCCTCACAGACAGTGGAGGAACACCGGACTGTGGTGGACAGTGAAGGCCGGAAAGAGACCACAGTAACTCGCCAAGAAGCAGACGGGAGTCCTAGACATGGTGAGTCGAGAGTGTGAATGGAAGGAATCCTTTTCTTAACTTCAGCATGGGGAAATCCTTTTTCTCTTGACTTTTATTGTTACCCCTCACCTTTGTTTCTGCCAATTCTATATATGTGCATGACTTTCTTCCCTAGATCAAGAGTCACCGAGACCGCCAGCCCTGGATGATACCTCTTCCATCCTGGATTTATTCTTAGGACGTTGGTTCCGGTAGACTTGTTAGCCCTCAGAGACCTTCCCATCCTTCTCATCTCCTACCTAGTACCCACCGCCAGTGGTGGGCTTAGCTGCTTCCGCCACCCGAGGGGCGTAGGTTTGTGGAGTCGTGAATTGAGGGTATGTCAGTCTGTCACCTGAGCTGGCGAATAAAACCTTTATTTATGCTAATTCCTCAGTCCTAGTGATGTCAAGGCTGTCTCACTTTCTAGCTCCAATCCAGGCCCCCCAGGTTATCATGTAGCACAGTCTTCACCCTCTTTTTTAATTTCTTGTGCCACTTCCAAAACCTGGTTTTGTAAGAGTTGGGTATCAGCGAGAAGTGATTTTCCTTACCGAGGAGGGAACTAGGACTGATTCCCAGGTCCGTTCCAGAAGAGCGTGATACGTCAGATTTCAGAATGGGAGAGGAGGAACGCAGAAGTGTTTTCCGAAGTGCGGACTCAGTGTGACTGGATAGCTCATAAGATAACTTGAGGGAGTATTTAAGCAAATGTCCTTTGCCTTACTGGCTGTTTTTACTTTAATGTTTTGGAAAGCACAACTAGTGTAATCTTTAGCCTTTCCCTTTGTTTGATCAACAGACATTAAATTAAAATTTATTTTTTTCTCATTAGCAAGAGTTTGAGTACTGTGGTTAAAGATGGAAGGTGTGTTTTTTTGTTGTTGTTTTTTAAATCACTATTGGGGGCTCACACAACTCTTATCACAATCCATACATACATCCACACTGTCAAGCACATTTGTACATTTGTTGCCCTCATCGTTCTCAAAACATTTTTTCTTTTTTTTTTTAAATCATTTTATTAGGGGCTCATACAACTCTTATCACAATCCATACATACATCAATTGTGTAAAACGCCTTTGTACATTCATTGACCTCATCATTCTCAACACATTTCCTCTCGACTTAAGCCCCTAGCATTAAGTCCTCATTTTTCCCCTCCCTCCCCGCTCCCCCCAAAGATGGAAGTTTTACCAACATATTTACCTGCTTTCCGTTTGAAAGCCTCGTTAGCATGGCAAGGGCCTTTTTAAAATGGCCTATCACAGGAGCAAAGAGAAGAGGAGCTTAATAACTATGACGGTTTGTCTTTTGACTTGATTACAGCTTTGGTGAAAAGAGTTGTTAGTCAAATTTATCTCCTCCTTTATGGCTAGTGCCCTTTGTGTCTTAGAAATCCCCCTAACTCAAGGTTAAAAGGTTATTTGCTGTTATTCTCTAAGTTTTACAGTTTTGCCTTTTGCATTTAAATGTTCATACCAATTGGAGTTTATCTTTGTTATATGCTATGAATCAAGGAGCCAATTTTATTTTTTCCCACATCTAACATTGCAAACCCATTGCCATCGAGTCACTTTTTGGCTCACAGAGACCCTAGGACAGGGCAGACTGCCTCTGGGTTTCTGAGACCGACAGCCTTAGCTTTCACCTTCAGAGTGGCGGATAGTTTTTAACCCCTGACCTTGTAGTTCACAGCTCCGCATGTAACCCGCTGCACCACCAAGGCTCAGTCGGACACTATATGTCCACTATATGGACACTATAGAATATATGTGCCCATGAGACCAGTCTTTATGTTCTCTGCTGTTAACTATTTGCCTTTGTGCTGATGGGTCTTTTTTTAATGCTATAGCTTTGTTTAGTAGAACATATGTTGACACTTTATTATTTTCTAACTCTTATATAGGAATACAATTTATTCCCCCCCTCCCCTGTCAGCTTAAGTGTTCCATTATAAATAGGAATGTAGCTAAAGATCACCAGCCATCTGAAGAGAGCTGGAACATGAGTGAAGGAGATGCATACAAATAAAAGAAGCCATTTGAAATAGATGAGATGAAAGCTCAACCACAACATTTTAAGGATCTTTGGAAGTAGGGTATTGGTTATTGAATCTATGAAATCGGAACATGATGCTATAAAAGAGAAACCGTAGAAAAGCGCATTTGGGGAAATTCAAGAAAAAAGCAGAAATGAAAAACTATGAAACATTGACAAGATAAAGTTGAAGAAATAGTCCCCAAAAAGTAGACCACAAGGAAACGGGAGAGAAGTAGATGCTAGAAATCAAACCAGCCGTCCTCAAACTATGGCCCGCGGCCCACATGCGGCCCGCCGAGGACATTTATCCGGCCTGCCAGGTGTTTTTGCCCCGTTTTGTTTTTTACTTCAAAATAAGATATGTGCAGTGTGCATAGGAATTTGTTCAAACTATAGTCCGGCCTTCCAACAGGTCTGAGGGACAGTGAAGTGGCCCCCTGTTTAAAAGTTTGAGGACCCCTGAATGAAACAGTTGAAGAAGATACTCCAGAAACGAGGCTAGTGAGTACTACCTTGAAGCCATCGTGTACTGGGCACTGAGCTTGAGCATAAACGCATCAGAACACCTGGGGAGACAGTGGAGCAATACTTCCAAAGTACTGTAGGAAAATAAGATACAGTGCATTCTTCAGAACAGGGTTTCCCCCAGTAAGCGATACCACCCTCTAGGAGGCACTGGACCTGTGCGACTGGACAACAACGCTGACCCACAGCAACCGCTGTTTCTGAGCCTAACTGGAGTAGAAAGCAGTCTGTCTGCCAAGGAGCTGCTACTACATTCAAACTGCCCACCTCGGATTGCAGCCCAACGCCTAACAACTACACCAGAACGATACAGGAGATCTGTAAAAACATAACCTACTCTTTATCCTGGCTCATGAGCTCTGTTAATACATTATTTAATTGCCCAGGTGGTGCCAAGTAATTTTTTTTCTGAAGAAGGTGCTCATGGGAACCCACGCTCTGGAATAAGGCATCATACAGTAATGAGTGGGGAAAAAATTAAATATTGGGCAAAAACACCAAATATGAAATACACGCATAATTTCTGGCTTTGGCAGTATGAAGAAGTCTGGGTCCTTGCAAGAAGATAAATATGAAAATAAACAGTTGTCCCAAACAACTAATACCGGTCTCTGGAAATTAACCAAGACTGAAACAATGTTTCTTTCTGAAAGCTGTCACGGCAAAAGCAGTGTGAACTTGGGACTCTTACCTGGGAATGTGCCCATCCAGCTCCGCCAGTCATTGCAGCTGTAGTCATACCAGATCTTTGCTGCCACAGAGAGAGAACGTGGAGGTGGGTGCTATAGGCAAAAACGTACACCTTCCTCGAAGTTGCATGAACTTGATAAGTAATACATTGGTAAGACCTGCAGCTGGCCTGCTTGGGTGAGTTGTGGGCTAGTCAGATATTTAACCAGGACTTCCTGGACAATAGGCTCCAGCTATCTCCTCACACAGCCTGTTTGGGAGATTATGTACATACCCATGAACACCCGAAAGTGGAGAAAGACAAAACTTGAGAACAACTTTCAATGCGCTTCTGAATGTCCAACACCTCCCAGCTGAGGGTGTGAGCTGTAGACTCACTGCCAGAGAGTTGGTTCCAACTCAGAGCCACCCTGTAGGGCGGAGTTGCCATCATGGTGACGACAGGAGTAGAAAGCCCCATCTTTCTCTTGCCGAGTGGCTGGTGGTTTCAAACTGCTGACTTTATGGTTAGGAGTCCAACGCATAACCACCATGCAACCAGGGCTCAGAAATGGATAGGCCTGAAATACTGAAATGGGCTGATCACCAAATTAGATAAAATTGAAAACAGACACTTAACAGCTGCACAATATAGGGAAGACAGATTCCACAGTATGTAAAGAGTTAAACACTACCGCTAGAAACAACAATCCTTTGGGGGCAGGACTAGAATTGCCAGTCTTTTTTTTTTTTTT